GAAGCAAGTCAGGAAGAATCAAAACAAGGCAGATGTCATGTGATAACTTTACTGTCACCACAGAAACCACTATGAGGTATTGCTGAGGATGCACAGAAAGAATTGAGGGATTCTGCATAGCGATGGGGACAGGAAAAAGTGAAATCAGAGTTTAAAATGGTGTACTGTTTTTCCATTTTTTATTATTTTTGTTGTACTGATATAGGCACAAAGCATAATAGGAAAAAGTTTATGTTGTATAGTCATTTTTCCAGTCGTGGCTTTCTAAATTTAAACAACTTCCCAACCATTCTCTTATCTTTCTTCCCATCTTAAAAGTGTAGTTACTTCTAAAAAAGATTGATGAAATTAAATATTGGGGTAGCTTTGTAAGTAATACTTTTCTAATATAGAAAGGAAATATATTTGACATTGTTATTATTTATCATGGCATCAATAGTTAGAGCTATATAAGTCCCAGTAATATATCATAGCCTCCGTGCTTTTTGTATACAAGCTTTTCTACCTCAGTAATTAGAAACTTTTCCAGCTCCATGCTATTCTTCAGGATTTGTAATGTAAGGAGATACAGAATTTTCCTTATTGCCAACTGCAATTGAGAAGAGTTTAAATGAGCTTATTTTCTTTATTTTAGCTATATGTATTATTAGAAGTATATATTATGCATTTCTAATGTGTATTATTAGACATTATTCTATTAATGTATTACTAACATGTATTATTAGAAAAACAGTAGTGAAGGCTCGTAGCTGGCCTTTTGTCTCTATAAATTATCTGATGACTTGCAGTAATTCTGGGCTCTCATACATTCCTTGTGCACTGATTAGAAATCACTGAAGTACTTTCTCTTTCATCAATACTTGTGGAATAAACACACCTATTTGTACTTGCAATACATGTAAAATTGTTTCAAAACCACAGTCCATGCTTAGCAAAATCTTGCTTTAAAAAAATTACAATGAATGTTATCCCTCCAAAAGTTAAGTTAGAAAAATGATCGAGGCAAAATTTAAGGGCTTGAATGGCACTTTTAGGATTCTGAACATTATCTAGTGGAGAGGAACCTTTGAAAAAAATTTAACAGGAGTTATGAAAAATATGAATATGAAAAATTTTTGAAAGACAATTTCTGTAGAAATGAGACAGATTTAATTCCAGAACACAAGACTGAAGTAGATAAGAGGCTGTTTAAATAGCTAAAATCACACCGCAGGTAAAGAAGTAGCAGTGGGACAGAGAAGGGATGATTGATTTAAGATATCGGAAGCTGCAGCATTCGAACTGATGAATGTGGCAATGAGTTGGATGTGAGTGAAGGAGGTAGAGGTGCTGTTAGAAGACAGCTGTTGAGATGGCAGTGAGTGGAGGAAAGACTATTTAAAGTGCCTAGGAGATAGTCAATGGAGCTCTTCAATAATTGTTTAGAAGTGCAGGTCAAAAACTTTGGAGAGAAGCCAGGACTTAAGGAATAGATTCAGGTGCAACCTACATATGCATAATAAACAAAAACTTGTGGTTATTTAAGATAATTTTGGGACAGTATATCAGGAGGCAATGAAAGTAGATTATGGAACTCCAGAAAAGAGCAGTATCTTTTCTTTTAAAAAGATTTATTTATTGCATAGAAGAACTAGGATGTAGACCAAATGTGCCATGGAGGAGATTCACCAGTGACAGTTTCTGGTGAATTTGAGGGTTAGCTCCTGGCTGGGGATTGAATTCAGGCCATCACAGGGATAGCACTGAGACTTAATCCCTAAGTCACTTAAGAGGAAGTGACCAAAACAATATTTTAAAATAAAGGATTGCATTGAAAGAAAACTCAGGAAAAGTAGAAGTTGATATTTGTTCCTCATAGGACGGATCCTCAGTAGAAATAACAAAGTGTTTAAGACAGCATTATGCTCTCCTATCCCTTAAGGCTGTTATGGATCTCATGAATAGATTCAGGAGCAACCTACATATGCATGAAAAATGAAAACTTGTGATTATTTAAGATAATTTTGGGACAGTATATCAAGAGGCAATGAAAGTAGATCATGGAACTCCAGTGAAGAGCAGTACCTTTTCTTTAAAAAAAGAGATTTATTTATTGCATACAAGCAATAAATAACCTAAATAAAATATCCTAAATAAGACCAAAATTTCTTTCATTGCAATCTTCCTTTTAAGATACTGTTCTGGTCACTTCGTCTTAAGGGACTCAGGGACTAAGTCTCAGTGCTATCCCTGTGATGGCCTGAATTCAATCCCCAGCCAGGGGCTAATCCACAAAGGGCGCAGCAGACCTTTCCTCTTTACAAAAGCACACTAATCACAGTTTTGGGTCTAGTATCTCAGAAAAAGGGCTACCATATGTGCCAAAATCAGGAAAAAGCCCTCCTCCCAACATATTGGTACCAACAACTGAACCCCCTCAGGTCCTTCTGCTGCCTTCTGTTATTGCAAAAAACAGGTCTTAGTATCCATGAAGCCAGCAAAGACCAAAAACCTAAATAAAATGAGACCAGAATTTCACCTGCTGAAAAAACAGAAGCAATTCAATTCTTTAAGTTACTGCTACAGATTTTTTTTTAAATAGGGAAATTTAAAGCAGCAAAATAGTCACAAAAAATACAACACATGGCACCTTGAAATCTCAAAGGAATGTGTCATTGAAAGGAGAAACAGTTTTCCAGAATCCAACCAAAGACATGGGGCTAATATATAAGCTCTACTAAGAATGTATGCAAATCAGCAATAGGAAAACAAATAGTCCAGTCCAAAAAAATGGACTGAAGAATTGACACTTCTCAAAAGAAGACAACCAGATGACTAAAAGGTATATGGAAAAGTGCATATCATCACTAATCATGGCAATGCAAATCAAAACCACAATGAGATGCCACCTCACACCTATGAGAATGAGTCACAGCAAAAGGAACAGAAACAAGGGTTGGCAAGGATGTAGAGAAAAAGGAACCCTTCTCACTGCTGGTGGCAGTGTACAATGGTCCAGTCCCTGTGAAAACAGAATAGAGGTTTCTCACAACATTCAAAATAGTTGTAACATATAAGCCAGCAATTGCACACCTACCAATCTACCCAAAGGACAATGCACGCACACTAATCCTGCATTCATTGCACGCACACTAATTCAAAAGGTTCTATGCACTCCTGCACTCATTGCAGCTCTATTTGCAATAGCCACACGATGCAAGCAACTTACGTGTCCAAAGACGGTTAAGTGGATTAAAACTACTCTTCGGCTATTAAGAAAATGAAATCTTGCTATTTTCTACTAAACCAAAATAAACCCTAAAAATCTAACTATAAAATTGAGGCTATTGGAGGGAGAAGATGGGGGACAGAAAGGGGAAACAGAGGGAGTATAAGTGCAGTTTGGTGTGGGTTTGGTATGGTGACACATATTGATATAGGAAGAAATGTGAACCTATACTTCTCAACATTGTATATCAATATTACCTCAATAAAAAAACTACAATCGAAGAAAGATTTCCAGGGGAGAGAGGAGAGTGTGATCAGGATATTTAGAACCCTCGTCTCCTTCCTGGAAGCACCTTTGAGCTTATTCCTACCCTGACCAAAATTAGAGTGACTTTCACATAGTACTCCTTCCATCATTATTTCTGAGTTCCACAGATTGTTCCTCTCATTTTATTTTGGGCCCAGGGATATTTTTTTTAATATTTATTTATTCATATGGAACTGGGGTACAGGCTAGAGATGTGGAGGGTGAGAGAATTCACCAGAGACAGAGAGGGGAGCAGAACAGGCAGAGTGACGAAGTACACTGCTGAGGGGAGCAGCAGGCGGGTCAGAGGTGTGCCTCGCCATGTGGATCTTCTCCGGGGCAGGCGGGAATCGAACTCATGCCGTAGTGACTTTAGCCTCTTAGTGCTGTGCTTTAACCCGCTGGGCCACCAGGGAGGGGCCCAGGGATATTAACCCCTGAGTGTTGCCAGCCCAGGGATACTACACAGTGTTTGTGGTTTCTAACATCTTGTCCATGTGTCTGTGAATAGTTAGTTTCATTATTAATCCCTTCTTGAATTATCCTTAAAAGAGAAAATTCCAGAAGCAAAAAAAAAAATTCCAAAAAAATAACCTGCAGTCAGAGTTGGTGCTGATGGGTAATTGGACAAGGAACATGTGAGACTAATCATTGGATTTAGTCTGTTGACTGTTGTCAGGAGTCTATTGATGCCTCCTCTTGAAATACACAGCATAAATAAAGGTCAGAATCTGCAAGATGAATGGTTAAGGGTGAAGAGGAAGTAATTAAATGAGAGCAGGGAATCTGTAATTTTGCAAAATTGTGGAAGTAACAGGGAGAAAGAAAAACTGAATGTTTTAGGATGGATGAGTTGAGGAGATTTTGTTTTTGTTTTAAGATTCCTGAGTATAAAATCCAGCAGGTAAGTATAGCTTTAATGACAACAAAGTATCACCTAAGCAAGGTACAGAGGAGAAAGGGAGATAGGAAAACATGGAATTACAATTGCCTTAGGAAGAAGTAGGGAACTGGATCTTCAAATTGTATAGTACAAATGAATCTGAGAGCTATAGAGGACATTAATTTGTATTTTTTTCTTTTCAAAGGTGTTTTAATGAAAATTTATTGTTCTACATTGGGCATACAATGAAAATATTTATTAGATAAGGAAAACCAACTAAAGGAAAGTAAGGTGTGAGGAAATATGATGAAGTCAGAAATAATAATAGTATATTAGTATATGATACAAACCCTATAAAGTCTTGATCTGGAAGATAGACACAATTTGCAAATTGGTGCGTAAGTGCTTTGAAAGCAATATCTGTGTTTTCCAGTTCCCATAGCATCCAGAAAAGTGACCAGTATACAGTGGTAATTTCAGGAAATGTCTTCCCCTTTATAGAATAATGCGGCCAATTACTGCAAATATTCCATATTTGGTTGTTAAGTTGAGAAATGGTAAGAAAAATACCACGCAACTGGACAAGAGATGAATCATACTTACAATTTCATTGTAAGTGGGGTCAGTACATTTTGGAACAGATTTTGTTTTCCTCCTCCGAACTTCGCTGGGATGTGGTAAAAGATAAAATTCAACATGTGCACTGGGCGCAGAGCCATCTGGGAGATGCTGCAAAGGGAAATGGTTATAAATATTAATGTGTGTTGCTATCAAAGAAAGCAAATAGATAGCTACTAAATATCTAGACCAAAGACAAGATCAAGATTTATGGCCATTGCTTTGTTTATCAGAAAATAAGAGCAATCAAAAGAAATCATTGCTCAAAAATAATTCCAAAGTATATTAAAAGGGCAAAATTACCTTATCTTAAATTAAGTGTTGTGTTAGAGAACTATGTTTAAAAGCCCATTATATATAATTTACTTTAATTGCTTTAAAGTAACATTTGAATTTACATTTTTGACAGAAGTGGTCAAGAGGTAAAATACAAACCATGGGCAGACAGGAATTTAGTGCTTCAGGATACTGCACCTCACTTGAGAATAAAAAAATTCCAGTTTAGCACATGATATGAGTGTACTTAGTGATCTGCATATGCATGTGGTGTAATATCACATTTTAAAGCAGAATGTAATTAAAATAGCTCTTAGATGAACAACTCTGATATATTTAACAGGACTTTAGGATGGATATAGTCATTTTATTATTTAAATCACCATAAAATAAACTGCACAACTCTTTTGCAATTATATTCTATGAGCTCCAAAAATTGCTTACACAATGATGCCAACTGGGTGGCAGCTGCACTCCCCCTCCCCAGTTCTCCAAACCACCACCACCGAACCCCTATATCCCCAAACTCTTATTTGGCTTCAGAACTTTTCTTCTTCTTTCCTATCTTTGTGTATCGTCGACACTTTTGTTACTATATCATTTGAAGAATGAACCCACTGTTTCAAAAATTTGGAAACTACCCTATATCAATGAAATTATTTTATCTTTGTGATCTCATCCAAAGGACAGCAAATGGAACTAAAATCTAGTTAATATCTAGTTGGAATTTAATACCTAGTTGGATACAATGAGAAATGTTTGTATAGTTTATATTTAAAAAGGGTGATTTACAAGTTGAACTGGGGGAATTAAATGCTTATTTTGTTGCTTAGATGCTGTTAAGTCAACAACTTTCAACAAACGTTTCAATGCTTTGAATCACAGTGACATTTCACTGTGAACATCCAGTCCCACCCTTAACCTCATTAGCTGTAATTTTATAGCTTTTGTTGGCACTCAAAAAAGCAGACTGCAAAGTCAGAAAATACATGTTATCATAGAGTTGACATTTTTCAGGTTCAATTTAGAGGATAACAAAATATTAAGAAAATTTGACTCTTGTAATACTAACAAATTCGATAAAATTCATGTCAAAATCCCTATATGGGACCCTCCCCGGTGGCGCAGCAGGTTGAAGCTCAGCACTAAGAAGCTTAAGCCACTTCTGCATGAAGTTCGATCCCTGCCTGTCCCGGAAGTGATCCACATGGTCCAGCAGAACTCTCCTGACCAGCCGCTGCGCCCCTCAGCAGTGTACTTCATTGCTCTGCCTGTTCTGTTCCCCACTCTGTCTCTGGTGAATCCTCTTACTGCCCCTGCACCTCTGGCCTGTATATCAGTTCTGTATGCACAAATAAATCTTAAAAATAAAAAACCAGGCCCTTCCTGGTGGCCCAGCGGGTTAAAGCACTGCACTAAGAAGCTGAAATCACTTCCGCATGAGTTTGATTTCCACCTGCCCAGGAGGTGACCACATGTGTGGCAGACCTCTCCTGATCCACCCGCTGTGCCCCTTAGCAGTGTACTTCGTTGATCTGCCTGTTCTGCTCCCCACTCTGTCTCTGGTGACACTCCTCGCCGCCCCTGAGCCTCTCGCCTGTACTGCAGTTCTGTATGTACAAATAAATAAATCTTTAAAAAAATAAAAATAAAAAACCAAACCTACATGTCAGAAGCCTAAAAATTGAAAAGCAGCTGCTTTTAATTCGCCAGGTATACTTGCTCCATTTGCAATCCTCCCTCGGTAGGAGGGACTGTGAAATGTGACCATGATGGCATATTCAGTGACACAGAAAGAAGTTGTTACTAATATTGGAGAGTGGATTGATTGTTCTTTCTCTCTCTTTTGGGGGTGGGAGGGAAGAAGGATGAGAATGAAGTGTTTTTGTTCTGTGTAATAGTTTCTCACTTGCCTGCTGAGGGGCTTAAGTGTACCATATCAATAATCATTATATGCTTCAGGGTTAGCATCGCAGTTAGTGGTTAGCATCACAGTTGTAAAAATAGGCTCTCTGATTGCAATCGAGGCCCCCAAATTTGCAAACTCTGTGGCTGTTAGCAGACAGCTTATCTTTTCAGCAGGTCAGTTTCCTACTCTGTTAAATGAGGCTAAATGTACTACAGCATATGAAAGACAAACCATGTAATGTGAGGACAGTGTCTGAAATAGAGCAAGACTCACTACATGTTTGAGACTATTTTTTTTTATCTTATAAATTAAACATGGAGACACAGTGTATAGCTTGGACAAGATATCCCCATTATACTATGACATACAGAGCACAGTTTCTCAAGCATAGCACTATTGACATTTGGGGCCCCATAATTGTTGAAATTCTTTGCTGTCGGGGGCTATTCTATAGCTTAAGGATGTCTGAAAGCATCCCTGGCATCTATCTACTTGAACTCAATCACAGCATCCTCCCAGTTGCAACAACCAAAAATGTTTCCTGATAGCAGTAAATGGCACCTGGGGGCTAACTTGACCGCGGTTGAGAATCAGTGATGTAGATGACTCAAAATAAGAGTCTCATGTTCTCCCTTAGGATGCAGCTTAATGACCTGGGAACATTCCCATATGAGTATCTTCTTGCCCCTTTTATCTAACCCCCAGTCAAAATCCATCTTCTATCCTTCATCATCGCCCCAAAATGACATTTTCTGGTGCATTATAATTCATTAAATAATACTATTTCATTCCCTTGGTGCCTTTCTTGTCCTTGATTTTCAAATATAACTATTGACCCTCTCTTTTGCTCCCATTCTAATGCCATGATGGATTTTTATTACCTGACTTGTTATAACTGGTGTTACTTATTTTTTTTGATGCCCCTATTTCCCCACCTCTTATTTATTATGTTGATCATTGCTGTACTTAACCTCCTTGCAAAACTGCTTTGATCAGGTCACTTTCCCTCTCAAAACACTCAAGGTTCCCTCCTACCTAAAACTTAAAGAAGGGGAAAGAAGGGGAAATTTTTTACATCAGCCTTCTCCCAGCATTTCACATCTAGGCTTTGGGCTTCCATTTCCAAGTTAATATCCTTGACAAGGTTCTTAAGTATCCAGGAATCTAAAATAATGTAACAGAGTAGGTTTCAGTTTAGGCAAGTGTGCATTAGATTTGACCAGCAGGCTTAGTCCGTTCTTAGCAGCTTTCATTGCAGACATTGATTATTTCCTCCTTACTGGCGCCATTTATGAGCACATCCTGTTCCTTAAAGATCTAAGCTAATTTGTTTTTTAAAGATTTATTCATTTATGCATACAGAGCTAGGGTACAGGCCAGAGGTGCAAGGGTGTTGAGAGGATTCACCAGAGACAGAGTGGGGAGCAGAGCAGGCTGACAGACAAAGTACAATGCTGAGAGGAGCAGCGGGTGGGTCAGGAGAGTTCTGACGCGCCGTGTGGGTCACCTCTGGTTCAGGATGAAACTCATGCTGAAGTGGCTTTAGCTTTTTAATGCTGTGCTTTAACCTGCTGCACCACCAGGGAGGGCCGATCTCAGTTAATTTTTAAAGGAAGTCTCTGGTTGTCTCCTTATCAATACTTCTCATTTCACCCTTTGTCCCCTATGTTCAAATGAATTAAATTTAACTTTGAAATTAGTAGATAACTCCTACTAATCATCTAGTCATACCCCAGGATTTTTACTCAGGCTGTATTTTAGACCTTCACAAAGTTTAACACTGACTTCAACAATCATGAGGTTTGGGGAATCAGAGTTCTCTATCTGACTCTCAGTTTAAACAGCGAGTCACTTTTGTCTCTAGAGTACTTTCTCACTCAGTAGCAGCACCATTACTTCTTCTAGAATCCCTGCTAGTGCTTTTACTGTGTTCAGAAGATAATATGAAAGCTGTCAAAACTTTGTTTTCATTGTTCATACTAGTTGAATTCTGTATATGCTAAGTTTGCTGTTAAAATCTTGTTCATTTCTATGCTTTTTAAATAGACTGATGTGTGTATGATCTTCCTTATGAGATTAGAGTTTCTTTCAAAGGGGGGTATATGTCTTGTCTCACACCACCCCTCTCCTCACATTTCCTTCGGGCTTTGCTGCATTGATTACTCCTTACTGTACTACCCTAACATCATTCTCAGTTTCTTCTTTCTAATTTTTCAATATATTTCTGAAACTTTGATTAAAAAGTTTCCCTTTAGAAAGGAGAAAAAATTCCCATTGTCATGGTGCTGACATGCTACTGGTGGGAGAGAAAATACTTACTCTTGTGAGTCAGTATTTACAAATAATCTGTGTGCTTAGTTTACCACTGTGAAGGGAAACAAAACAAGCCAAACCAGGGGTGGGGATAGATAGCAACATAGAGGATCAATCTGCTCTATTCAGGGCTCTTTCTAAGGGGAACAGAGACCAGGAAGCAGGGAGGCAACAATGAACACATTTAAATCCTCATGTGAAATTTGACTTCTCTTTACCTTATTCTTTTCTTTCCTTTCATAGTTAGACCTTCCTTCCATAGAAATCTTGTCTTTCGTGATGTTTGGTATATAATGAACATTGAACAGTTATCAAATGACTGAATGAATGAGCTATATATCCATGATGTCTAGTCTTTGAAAGTGCTCCTTAGCTAGTTTTCGAATCTTTGCCTATAATGCTACGAATGTCCCAAGATTTCATTAAAAGTAGTTTCTGTGGTCTTATTGCAACATTGCTTTTTTGTTAGTTTATTTAGTAGAAAAACTGGGGAGTAGGCCAGAGGTGTCAGGGGTGAGAGGAATGGGGAGCAGAACAGGCAGGTCTATGGAAAGACACTGCTGAGGTGAGCAATGGGCAGGCAGAAGAGGTCTGTTGCGCCATGTGGGTCACC